CAAAGAATTAACCTAGGGAAGTACCTGAAAGTCTTAGCAATACCTTACCATATATTTAAAACTGCTGCGAACAAGTTTAACATCCGTTAAATGAAGACCTTTGTTTGATTCGCATCATCGGAAACTATACTAACCACATTTTAAAATAAGGAATCTAAATTTTTAATATTATATATAGTATATACATATATTCTTATAGCCTTGACGTCAGCATTAATTCCTTTTAACTACGACTTAATCAGATCTAAATTTGTACGTGACAGACGGCTACTATGCGAGTTTGGAACTCAATGAAAATGGATAGAAGATAAACATTGCGGTTGTTAGCCGAACAATTTTTACAAAACCATTTATTAGATATTTTTCATGATCAGTTTGTATAAATAATAATACTTTACATAATTTTTTGTGAAACAATCGTCTTCTTCACACTAAAAAAACTGAAAAGCTATTCGCTTTTAAAACGTATGACCATCGTTGCGCAGTGCGCTCGTAAGCTCCCGCCATCAGTGCCGCAAGAAAAGCATAAGGGTATTGGACAAAAAATTCTATATCTTTGGAATGGCATGAGAACAAAAAATTATTTGCAGATTATTAAAGGTGAATATTTCATGAAGAACACATTAAAAAAAATTTAATTATTTAAGACAAAATTATGTAAAATATTATTATTTAAACAATGAATCGTGAAAAAATATCTACAATACAGCACGAGCATTTTTCTTAGACTTCACAAAATTTCATCGATTTCTCTCCAGCAGTTTATGAGAAAATAATTTTACAATTGTATCGTGCTCTAAATTTTAACCTTCAACAACTTTAAGAAAACAAATAATTTTGACAAAATATTTATATGACAGGGTATGCTTCTAGTCCCCTTCCTAATAAATTGTTAATTTTCAAAATCGGTGATTTTGCAAAATTTTCACGAAAAACTTGACGTGGTTTGATCCAGGGGCAACATGTCTCCTGGCAGCAATTGCTACATATGATATTTTTAAACCTCCGAGGCAGCTCGAAGCATTACTGAGCTGTCCTGATAATTCGTAACACGACAAGAGGATCGGCTGATGCAGTTGTATCATCTTTCAACATAGTCCTTAATTTTGACACTATCGTTAGCCATCTAGCTTTCACATATTCGCACAAGCGACCATTACATTTTCTTGAGCAGGCCGATGCCTTACGCGTATTCAATAATAAATAAATCAATAAGGACTAAGGAGAACCTTACAGATATTCTATTCCTTTATCTATATGTTTGACACCAATAACTAATATTCCACCTACCCGCACCTACGACTTTTGATGGCATAATTGGACTCGACCTACTGACACAGGCATGATCAACTATTGATCTTATGTCAGAACTGTTTGACTTTAATGGTGGATCTGAAGCTTTGAAGTTTCCCAAATGTGCTCGAGTTAATTTCTACAAAATTGAAGACATCGAAGTTCCACTTAATGTTCGTACGGACTTTCTACAAATGATGACAAGACATGTGAATTCGTTTACCGACGCGAATAAATTACTTCCGTTCAGCACGAATGTGGTTGCATCCATCCGCATAAAGTACAATGAATCTGTTTACTCTAGGATGTACCCATTCCTCATAAGAGCCGCTGATTTTGTAAATAAAGAACCTACTAAAAATTACATTATTTGGCCGATTAAGTCTTTTTATAACAACCACACAAGGGTTGTTTTCAAAACGGTTGGTAGTGGATTTTAGGAAGTTAAATTCCAAGATTATCGCGGATAAATACCCAATGCCGAGAATTAGTACGATATTATAAACCTTGGAAAGGTCAAATATTTCATTACTCTTTACTTAAAGTCAAGGTATCATTAAATGATTTTAGCAGAAAACGGTAGAGAGAAACATATTTTTCAGTAAACGTAGAAAAGTATGAATTCTGCCGTTTGCCTTTTGGTGCTAGAGGCATCTTTCAGCGTGCCACAGATGATGTTATACGAAATATGGTCGGGAATACTAGCTATGTCGATCTAGTGTTTAAAAGCTTTTACGACGCCAATATGAGAGCGCCCAATGAAAAATTTAGTTTTTTAAGTCAAGTGTAAAGTTCTTGGGCTTTGTCGTGACAAAATAGGATACAATAACTAGCCCAGATAATGTTAAGGCTATTAGAGATTTCGCTACTTGTTTGAATTAAGAGCATTCGGCGAAAGCGAAGGATCAGCAAATTCCCTTCGAAAAATATCCCAGTGTCCTTTGACAAAATTCGGAAATCTTAGTTGGACAAACTCAGGAATATCCTATTCCAAACCATTTTACTTAACTATTGATGCTTCCTCGATTGCAGTACTATCTCAAGGAAACAGACCCATAACATTGATTTCGAGAACGTTAACGGATAGAGAGGTAAACGAAAGAGAACTCTTAGCCATAGTGGGTCCTAGACATCGTACAACATTAGTTTTACGATAACAGTAACATCGAAACCCTCATTATACTCTTGCAACTTTCACGAATCTCTCTCTCTTATTTTCATTGGGATAACTCACCTATTGGCCGATATATACATATGGTACAAAGTCACCCCGAAGTTCGAAAATGTTATATTAACTCATTTTTGACATACAGCCATAGCATTATCAGAGAAGGTTTATCCATAAATTTCAATTATATATATTACATATTGACCGATACTTTCTATCAAAAGCCAATTATAGGTATTGGGATGAAAATATTCGGTACCTTTTGATCATAACATATCATACACTAATTTATTCGTGCAAAGTTTAATTCCGTTATACTAACTAACTTCTTGGTTTGTGTACTGGAAAGTAAAAGATTCAAAAAAAAGTTCATTTTCACAACATTAAATCGGGTCCATCTACGAACTAGAATTTTTTTGTACTAAGGAACCCGTATACCAAGTTTCATCGAGATATCTCAATTTTGACTCAAGTGACAGCTTACGCGGACGGACGGACGGACAGACAGTCAACCGGATTTCGACTTTTCTCGTCCTCCTTTTCAGTTATATTTATATAACCCTATATCTATCCTGATGAGTTTTAGGTGATACGTACAACCGTTAGGTGAACAAAACTATAATACTCTGTAGCAACTGGTTGCAAGAGAATTTAAATTTTTAAACTAATTTAATTTTAAAATTATGGACGAAGTCTTATTATTTTCTTCTCATRGAAGTATGTAGTATTTAAGGGCTGCACCAATTTCTTAAAATTTCGGCATTAAACTACACGTTACCTTAATTTTGTAAAATTATGTTACAAATAACATACCGATTTGTGGTATACCATATAAAGGCAACCAGAAGTTTGAAATATTATGTTAAATAGGTATATAGAGGATAAAAAAAGTATTGACTCTGATTTTAATTGTTTGTGTCATTGCTAAAGATTATAAACAGAAAACTSATCTCTTCATTAAGGTACCTCACATACCAGCACCACGATCCATATAAGGAGTAAAGGCAAGCGGATGTTTGAACAAACTRATRTTAATTATATGGTSGTTAGAGCAAGTTTTTAACCGATTATATAAATTTTGTGCACAACCAAAAATACGGTCTTTCAATATCATTAAAGTAGCTCATATTTTGACCGACTGTCTCTTGTGGTTGCAGCTATTCGACGTCAAAAATTCTGTGCTGGTTGACGGCATTTTTTTTTTTTTTTTGTGTTCTGCACAGAGGCGAGTGCGTATATTGTCGGCAACAAGTTAGAGGTCCGAATCAATGCCTCGGACCTCAGAGCGTACGTACATAAAAGATAATGGAGACGTGTCTTCTGGTTTGCGATCCGGAGAAGAAAGGTAGCTTTATGAGTTTTCTTGTGCCGGAATGTAGTACTACAGATAGCCTAATTTTGGGCCCCAGTGAAGTAGAGCAGCCTCATTTGGGGATGTTTCATTGTGGGCGCTGAATTTACCGACCGCTGTGTTAAAGATACAAACATCCGGATGGCTTTATATGTTATATATCGGTCAATATGTATATGTACATATATTAGATATAAGTGTGGCAAAAATAATCGAATCTTTTTTTTCGCTTGATGCTCTGGAAAATTTAGCAATATTTATATGAAATGTGTTTTTGTTATTCTCTTAAATGTGTATAGTAGTTTTCTTGACGTCCACGTTGTTCCGAGTTCCGTGGCAAAAAAATGGAGAACGAGCCCGTATTTGACCCTAATCGAACCACTGCCACACCCTAACAATGTCATTTAATGTAAAGTTATAAAGGCCATAACTAAGAACTTAATTAAGATGGAGAACCAAAAATTTCACAAAAATKGATGAAATCGGATGGTAATCTCGCAAACTCCCCGTGTAAGTTTAAGGTTAAAGGTTACTCTTAAAAACTACACATAGCGCGATAAATCAATAACTAAATGCGCCAAAGACACTAAATTTTATTCATGAAATGGTGAGTGAGTTCACGCAACTGAAAAAAATTCTCTGATTGCCATTCACTTGGGAGTGGCCAAAACATTTCTTTTACATATGGCTCAAACAGCTCACGTCATTCGGTCATGAATCAAGTATCGTCTGGGAAGCCACATAACATCCGTTTTGAAGGCCAGCTAAAGTGAGAAGGCGAAACATCTCCTCCACAGGGTTGTGCTCTAGGTTACAGACCCGCCACGTTAAAAAGCTCTACCAATGAGAACTAATCGACAACCTCGAGTGAGAGCCCCCATTTTGATGACGACCATAGCAAAGTAATTAAAGATTACGATCTGAGGGCATGCATGTGAAATGTCCGGTCCCTTAAGTGGGAAGGGGTCGCTGCCCAACTGGTTGATGTCCTCGTTAGAGTGAAGGCTGATGGCGGTGATCCGCCTAACAAAAAATGCGATGGATGGGACAAGGACCAGTAGGTCCTACAGAGTGGTTATATAACAGAGAGYAAATTCAGTGTAGGATTCGTAGTGAGAGCGAGACTCTTTCGCCAAGTACTGTCAATCTCCCCGGTGGACGAAGGTCTAGCCATAATTCGCATCAAAGCGAAGTTCTTTAACATATCGCTGATTTGCGTCCACTCTCCGACGGAAGAGAAGAACGATGTGACCACAGATGTCTTCTATAAGCGCTTGGAGTGCACCAATAATAGCTGCCCCCACCACGATGTCAATATCGTGTTTGGCGACTTTAACGCCAAGTGGGCAAAAGGGTATATTTATCACAATGGTCACTAAATTCAGCCTCCCTGATGAAAATTSCCTAAACAGGAATCCTGCTCTCTGAGAGCACTCATCAGCAATTCAGTATAAGGGAACTGCGGGACGCCACTACAAGCTCTTTACGCTGCTAACGAAACCATTGATTTTCGAAAAATGCAAGAGAAAGCTAGTACGATGAGAAGTGTCGTACCGCAGTGGAGAGTAAAATGACTGCCTAACTCGCAACGTTACATGAAACTGACCAAAATACGTACGAGATGGGCTGGCGACCGAGAGCTGGAAAGAAAAGCGAGACGACRTTACCGACAAAAAAGAGAGAGGCTGAGGGGTATATTCAAAAAATCCTACCAAAAGAATGCAACTTGTAAAACCCCCAGAAAAGATGTAGTATCTGCAGCCCAAAGCAAACTAAAATCATAGCGGGAACATTTTTCGACCCTGCTATTCAGCACATGAAAGTATAGCACAAGAACGTTCCATTAACCGACCATGAAGAAATTAGAAATGCAACTACCCGTCTAAAAAACAACAAAGCGGGCCSGACGATTGGAATTTAAATGTGCTCTGCTCAATTCACTAAAAGGGAGATCGCATTGAGCGCTTTTGTGTGAAGGATTAAAGCCCACCGTCAACAAACTGATTGGACCTTATCAGTGTGGCTTTAGACTGGWCAAATCAACTACCGACCAGATATTCACCATACGACCACACCACTTCTTCACCAATTTCAAAGCTGCTTTTGACAAAATGAATAGGAGGTGCCTTCATGCCGCTATGTCTGAATTTGGTATCCCCGTAAAACTAATATGCCTACGTAAACTGATTTCAATTATCAACACCGAAAGTTCCGTCAGGATCGAGAAGGACCTCTCAGATCCGTTCGATACCAAACTGACTTCTTCCACCTATGTTTGGATGAAATAATTCGAGTTGCAGAGCTTAACCGAGCAGAGACAATCTTGTACAACTGCTGGCGTATGGAAATGATATTGATATCATTTGCCTTAAAATTCGCGCCGTTATCTCTGCTCGATCCAGACTGTATAAGGAAAGAAGCAAATGGGTGAACCAGGGCAAGACAAAATATCYCCTGTCATCAAACAAACAGTCATCGCACTCGCGACTAGGCTACCACGTCACGTAGTCCCACCGTTGACAGTCATAACATCGAAGTCCCAGATAACTTCGTCTATCTTGAAGCTAATATTAACAGTAACAACAACGTCGGCCTCGAAACCCAACGCAGAATTACTCTTGGCAACGGGTTCTACTTCGCACTGAGTAGGCAAGTGAAAAGTAAAGTCCTCTTCGACGAACAAAAACCAAACTGCATAAGTCACTCATTATTCCCGTCCTGCTATATGATGCCGAGGCATGGACGACGACAAAATCTGATGAGTCGACGTTACGAGTTTTCGAGAGAAACTTCTGCCAAAGATTTATGGTCCTTTGCTTGTTGGCTACGGTGAATATCGCATTCGATGAAGCAAGATACTTCAGCGAATTAAAAGACAGCGGCTACGATGGCTAGGTCATGTCATCCGAATAGACGACGTAGTAGTCGCCAGAGGAAGCAAAGGAAGAGGACGAATTCCGCTCCATTAGAAAGACCAGGCGAAGAAGGACTTGGCTTCATTGCTAAAGGAGGAAACAACGCACTGTTGGAAACTCATCTATAACCCCATAAGCGGTGTATACGTTAGTAATGTAGAAGAAGGTTTAATTTTTGCAAATATATTGGTAAGACAGAATATAAATACTACTACAGCAACATTTGGTAACTCCATTAACATTTTTAGAGTAATTTGATCATGTCCTGTAATCTTTCTTAGATTTACAATTTTTATGCTCCTTTTAATTACTCAAATCAAATTGGCATGAGCGACTCGAAGTTAGGCTGACCTTTTATAGGTAATTTGGACTCAGTTTCATTATATTATACTCAGTGCTGTATTTTTCCGCAAACATATGTGCATTTCTTAAACTACGTACAGCAGACTCCCATTGCACCTGAGAGGAAGGTAGGTCTTATTTGTTTTTTAGTTTTATTTGGTGTTGCTACAACAACTACTATTAGTTATTACTTCATAAAATTCGCTGTGGTATATTTTCTGAGTTTATTTTGTAACCAATATTAATGTGAATACTGATTTATTTTTTATATTTTATCCAGTTCGTTTTATGGGCTGTTAAACCCAATTGTAGTGATAGAATGCAATCATTCGTTACTTCGCATAGTTTTGTTAGTTTAAAAGATAAGAAGGTAAAAGTAACAACAATTAAAAGCGAATTTTCAGTATTTTTTATTTCAGCAAAATCAATTAAATCTGGGGTTTGGTTTTGATAGCTGGACCAATATATTAGCTTAGCAGGATATATTAGGTAAAAATTATTACGCCTATTCATAATAGTGTAGTGCAGCTGTCTTCCTTTTAATTATATACAAGGTGCATTCCAAAGTAAACAGGACCTAAAAAAACAGAACAATTGTTTTTTTCGGCAAAATCAATTTATTTTACAATGTGCGTTCCAAAGTAAGAAGAATATGTCGACTGGTGCATTAGAAACGCTTCTTTATCGATTGTCCATGGAGAATTTCATGGCATTTCATTTATTGGAAGTGAGGAAGCGTTCTAAGTATCAGTATGTTTGTGCCATCGGTGCAAAAATGAGGTTCGAACAACGAGCAAACATTACATTTTGTTTTAAAATTGTTAAAACTCTTACCGAAACCTTTCAATTGATGAAACAAATTTATGGCGATATTGCCTATCCCGTAGCAGAGTCCACGAGTGGTTTCAATGTTTTCAAAGTGGTCGTGAGGACATAAATGACGATAAACGTGTGGGCCAATCAAAATCCGTGATCACCGGAAATTCCATCAAGCTGTGCGTGAGTTCATCAAATATCAGCCGAAAGCATTATTTGGAATTGAATATCTCCAAAACATCGATTTATCTCATTTTGACATTTGGGCTTACGAAAGGTGTGTGCACGGTTCGTTTCGTTCAAATTGACAAACAACCAAAATTTCTCAAAAAAATTAAAAATTAAAAAATTATTCAACCGAAAAAATCGACCTCAGTATCTATAATTGTCTTTTGACCGAAAATGTGGGTCAATGTAAGGGATATATTTTTTGAAATTCAGTGAGAGTTCTTACTGAGCGATAGGATCTCCGCGTATCATAAATATSTTGATGTGTTGGGCATTTCTTTACATGTTAAAACATATTGTTGTTGCCTAAGGTTCTAAAGTATGGTGGCTTAATGAATCTTTAACCAACATTGCTTTTCCATCATGTGCCTTTTCATCAGGGTGATTTGTAACAAAGAGTCGAATAAGGTGTATAGAGAAAGGGGGCTCTTATTTTTAGATTAGTTTCGGACAATAGCATTACATCTATATTTTCTTCTTTAGAAATTTAAAGTTTTGCATTCCTACATACGAGTACATTCTGTGATATGTTGAGTAAGGTTTAAAAGCATACTTCAACGCATGCACTAGGTTTGTTTTGCGCCAAATTAATTTTTACAGTGTTGCCTTTTATTACTTTTGAATAACTGCCTTAGATCAGTAGGGAATATATAGTATTTGTTTACGACGGGCTTTTCTAGCGACAACTTCGGCTTCAAGTCTGTATAAATAGGGCAGTGATAACTAGCAGTGTTATTTTCTCCACAATTACTTTATTACTTAGTTAAATTTTTTTTCTTTACTTGCTTTATTTGGTAATTGAGTTTAAATCAACACATGTTCCACAAAAATTCCGCAGGATGCAATACGGCATGAGCTGCAAAGGAATAAAAAATGTGTAACACTAAAGTTGTAAGTGATTATCCGAAATATGTAATTTTTTAATTAAGGTTTTATAATTCCCGCCAGATTGGAATTAAATAAAAGTTAAATATGTCGCAATTATGTATTATTAGCAATTTTATAAAAATAACAAATCGACAACCTACAGTTTAAGCTCAGTAAAAATGGAGCGTAACTCCACGATAGAATAAGTTATCTCCATTATTAAACAATCATTTAYAATGAGAGAATGGCTCTCGCAGTTTGAAAATTTTATACAAAATAAGACCGAAATAATATTTTAACTTCGTCAATTTTTAAGATTAATTGAAATGCCGACAATTTAAATCGTGCGATAATTTTTGGACACATTAGTTTCTGTACATCAACATTCACATGTTAATTAGTATTATTTATTTTAAGCATTAAAAAATGTCTTTTAAACTAGGGAACTTCCATTGAAGTTTTACGTCCACCAGTTCTTTTACATTCCAAAGAATTCAACCGTATGTATCAAGATAAGTTAGAAGTACTGAATGCAAAGGATTTGCATATGCAGCCACCATATTGTGTTCCTTGTATCAACGTGTCATCTCCCGATATCATATCACGTTTTCTGTTTAACTTATCATCAAATAAATAATGCTCAATACAGCACTGCTAAAAAATTAGATTAATCTAACGAATGTAGAAACGGAACTATTTCAAACTGATACTTTTCTTATGCAAATTTATTATTTTCTGTAAGTATGAATGATAAAGTTTTTACATTTTCATTTAACGTATTTGTAAAATTAAAATTAAATATAAAATATGAAGACTAAGGTATTATATTTCAACATTTTCATCATCATAGTCATAATATTGCTTACCAGTGTACAACAACATGTGAAATTGCGAACACATATGCGAAATATATATGCAGCTCTGCATCATGTGACAAACGTCAAGAGTGCTACACAACCTAAAAATATTATTTATTATATATATATTAAAAATTAAAAAAGAACATTATTACATATTATATTTTAAATATTTAGATCATATTTTAATTCATAAATATCACAGATGATGACACACTACACATCGAACTGACAAAGGGACGAGACCATCGGCACACAGATTCAATTGGACGGCTTAATGCGTTTAGGACAGCTCCTGCGCGAGTTACAGTATAGGAGCCGGCTGACGTCACTACCTAAATCTGAAATAAATACTGAGGCAAATAAATACACTACTATAAATGCAATCACTTTGGTGCCAAGAATCAGAAATCAGCAATTCAAGTCTGCTCCATTGAGTGAATATATCGCACATTCCAATAAACTCAAAATATGTCGAGCTGTATTGTTTTTTATTTATAATTTTAAAACTTATTTTTTAATTTTTTCTTTGAATTCTGACTCTTAGAATATTTAGTACAATATTGTCAAACTTTATTTTTGATTCATAAGTTCGCTTTAACATTTTAACAGGATGTATAAATTTATCAATAAATTTGGCTTTGTTATTACTAAAAGTTTCTGATTAATTTTTACTTTACACTCTGCAAAATTTATCATATATTTTGTAATATAAAGTTTCTCCCGTCACAATTCTGAATAAGACTTACATTATATGCATTCTTTTTATAAATAAATAACTTATTTCTTGAACTATTGTCTTGCTGTTGTACTTAAATTCACGATCATTAAAAAAGATACAATTCCTTCTTAGTTTTTTTAAATAATATATGTGACCTGGTCTAAGAAAAGGGAGCTAACGTGTGAAAACTAGTTTATGACTTTTTAGATACTATCACGTGAAAAAACATCTCATCTTCCATCCGAGTAAACTAAGATTTTTTGACACCTAAGCCCCCTTTCCGTAGACCAGATCACATATTGTCTTTATATATATAATTTTTTTATTTACTGTTAAATCAATACATCTTCTGGATCTATTTCGGAAATTTTGTTATTGTTATTAGTTTTACATATTATTAAAAACAACTCTTTTAGTATTTGTAAAGCGAACACAAGTGCTTCATTTTTGAAAGCTGCTACTCGTCGAATTGGATCATGGTGTGTTCTGCTTCTTCAACTATCGGTGACACTTGTAGGAAAGCTATAGCCAATTTCATGGCGATCATCAGAAACATTATTATGCACATGGTCTGAAAATATATTGATTCATGGATTAACACTTTCCCGTACATTGTCATTACGTACTAGTGTGCTTAACCTATTATCATCCTCTTCCATACCTATCTTCCCATCTCTATCTAATGTTAGTGGCTTTTTTATATTTGCTAAGTGAATGTTTTGCAAGGAGATGATTTGGATAAATGGTTCGTCCATGAGTCTTACTCTTTAATAATTTTTTATTGACCCAGTCGATCTCAGTTCTTCGTAGTCCTCTTTGTACCTATTTCYTTAGTATATTACGAGTTGTTTCTTGTGGTCTATTGTGTTTTTTTAAATGGTTGGATATATGGTACATTATTTTTTACACCCAATATATAGTACATTTTATGGTTGAGTGATATCCTCATTTCTGTTGAGAGGCTTCAATTCTCAATTCCTGTTRGTTTTTCCAACATGGTTGAGTGCAGCCTCTCAATGTATGCATTACCTGTATGGGGATTTGGTTTTGTTAATTAACTGTTCGGCCCTGAATTCGATGTCCATGATGATTTCTTTTGTTTCCCAATTTTCCTGAAATGTTCAATTATGATGGCCTTCTTTGTTCTCCAATTTCTGTCAGTTATATTGTATATGCAAATTTTGTGAGTTTGTCGATTACTGTGACAGATGACMGCATTTTGAAATGAAAAATGTCCACATGTATTATTTCATTTCATCTGGAGGCATCTCAGTTTCCTGTCATATTTAATTCGCTTGCATTTTTAGCAATTATCTATAATTAGATGTACATGTTCCTGAAGTGTATTGTAAATTTTGTTTATTCCGCTATRCATTGACTCAATACTATAGTAAAGTGAAATGGGTTTATGCAGGTCTTCTTGTAGAATTTCTGTTGCTCTTTTTGTACATTTTATGAATTGTAACTTGCTGTTGAAAGAAAACATTCTTATAAGTAACAGTTGAATTATCTTTAAAAAAAATACCCACTTTGCCTCTGTAAATATGTCTTTGGAAATTATTTGCCAATAGTGTCTATAGGGTTAATCTCAATTACTTTCCTGCCACGTATTGTTTAGACCTCAGTTTGGGGACTAGATGTTATTATTATTTGAGTCTTATGCTTGTTGGAAATGGGAAATGTTCAAACAGTTCCTCTTCTAAGGAATATATTGTGTCTAACACTTCTAGATTGGATTCTTTATCATTGCATTCGTAGACTTTTGGAGAGTTTTTAATTTGGCTTAAAAAATCTGCTACTACAATACATTATTTTTCCTTTCTAATATTCAATTTCGAAAATAAAGTCTTGCAGTTTCAAAAGCCATCATTGGTGACGTTGTGAAAACTCCTTTCCTTTACACTTGTAATTTTCCGTAATCATACAGCCCAAAACAGGTACATAAGTGCTTAAATGATAACTAAAAATTCCGTATCTGTGGTGACATAATTTTGCTCGTGATTATTTAACGTCCTAGAGATATAACACACCGGCCGTCTGTTGCTGTGACTGCATTGGCTCTATAATATAACAATTTGCATCTGTGGTGATATCATAATTTGTATATTTAATTATTCGATGAGCTTTAAATTTAAAGCTTTAAGGCTTTCGAAGCTTGCAATAAATTGCGGATCGTTTGGATTTATTTTGCATCCCTTTTTTTAATATTTAATCAGTGGATATGCAATTTTTTTAGTAGAATTGGCTTCACATTTTATATTGCTACATTTATCGGCTCGGAGTTTTAAGTTATGTTCTTTGATATAGGCGACAGTCCTTGGGGCTAGTTGCTTTACCCTTTGTATAAGCATTCCTGAAAATATTTCCTTCATCTTACTGCCTGTCTCACTCAAAGCATAATATTCGGTAATATTACCTATTATTTCTTTAGTTTTCCTACCAAATTCACCTATACTTCCCGACCTAAGATCAGCGAAGTCGTTGGWCAAAGTCATATTTCCCTTTGTTGGCCTAAAGTGCTGTTTTACTCTTATTTTGCATGTGCCCCAATTTTCTAAAGGACTTCATTGTTAAAAAATCTTTTGCCGATCCTAAAATCTTTAAATCATAAAATACTCTCAATGCTACCTATTGTTGTCCTGCACAATCAGCTAGTACCCTATCAATTGCCTCAATAAACGCTGGTAATTTTTTTGCATTACCTTCAAATGGCTGTAAGTATTCTAAATCTTTTTCYATTTTCTACCTAACACTAGTTTCCTGCTGTGCAGCATTTTGCTGAAGAAATTGTGTTATTGCTGGTAAACAATGTTCAAGGTTTAACACTTGATTTTCAGCCATCATTTTTTGTTTATTTTTCTTTTTATTTTATAATGCAAAATTATATTTTCATTAAGTAAATTTTAATTTTTTAATTCAAAATGTATACCTGCGAAATAACGTACATACATGTACAGTATGTAACACAATTGAGCAAATAAAATCACGAATGTCGATTCTTATAAAAAATGTGTATTTAATTTGGGCGAATTAAATTACAGTTTTTTCAAATACATTCTTCAGTCCGTCTATAATATAAAATAACAAAAGAGTAACAAATTTATTCAGGTTTTATAAGAAGAAAATATATGTAAATACTCTTGTATGGCACTTGCTCAATTTTGATACAATGTAATTTTTACCGCTTTAATATTTAGTATTAGCAATCACTGCTTCAATCCGCTTGGGAAGCCTATTGACTAAATCTTCACATTCTTTTCTAGCGATGGAGTTCCATACTTCTACACGTCTAGTAAATAATTCCGCCTTTGTTTTCGGTGGACTGGTATAATGTGTCCCCTTTTTTTTCTTTAAACAAATCACAGTTTCCGATAGAATTAATATCGGGGCTTTGTTAGGGCCATTCCAAAGTTTCAATTCGTTGACTTCTAAGATACTCCATAGTCTTCATAGCTTTGGGCTTGGAGTCGTTGTCTTGCATCAGAACGATTTTGCAACTGTCCAGACATAATTTCTCCAACGAAGAAATATACCATTGCCTTAATATATCTATATACATATTCGCGTCCATATTTCTCTCGATTAAAATTAGGTCCCCAGCACTACTTTTACAAAAGCCACCCCTAAAAAGGACTTTTCCACCCCCAAAATTGAGTGATGGGATGAGATAGCAGCTGGTAATAGTGTTTGATGAAGTCTTCCAAACGTAATGTATTCCGTCTGACCCGTGAGATTGATCTCGCTCGTCTGTTCAAAATACATTCGCCCACTGGAGAAACTTGTTTTCCGTAAGTCCTCTCCAGTTTTTTTTGAATCTCAGTACCTGATTTTACTGCTCCCGAAGCCACCAGACGGTTGATAGTTCGCCTATCGTGGATATTTAAAACGGATCGCCGACCAGATCGAGGTGTTGGAACTGATATTTAATGACAATTAGAAATGTTTTTCACTGACCCAAATGAAATTTCAGCTAAATTTGCAACTTGCCAATATTAGAGATTTTCATTCAACCATTGAAGCACAGATTTTTTA